AGAATAAAAAGTTACACAATCCTGAAGTCAAAACATTTTTTTCCTACTTTCTCAGGGGTCGAAATTAGCGCTGGTCCGGTGGTCCGGGACCAGTAGAATTTACGTCGGACCAGTAGATTTTTTCAGCTAGTGGTCCGGCGGACCAGTTGAATTTGTTCGATAAAATTCTCTGATTGCATCACAATCTCAGTTTGTTTACATTACAAATTACCTGAGAAATCAATAACGCGATACTGGAGGTATAAAAATTGATTACATTAATTAATATCTCTGGTGTTCGTCCTTCACAATAAACAAAATATGGAAATTTTCGGAAGGGGTTAAAACTTTCTCAAAATCAGGATGCAAACACTTCTTTGACCAATGTATAATATATGTGAACAAAGGCATGAAAATAAAAGTAAGCATCTTTAATTTATGTTGGAGTTTGTCAAATGTATTTTTTTCAGGACCAGTAGATTTTGTGCAGGACCAGTCGAGTTTTCAGTCCACTGGTCCGGCTGGCCATTACACAAAAAACCTGAAATTCGACCCCTGCTTTCTGTTTGCTATTTTTACTAGGCCGCACCACTTCCAGTAAACATGATATCATTCCACTTTCCTGGATTGATATACCCAAAAGATGCAAGATTTTTTTTAAAGCCTATATATATGTTTCAATTCAGCATAAACCTACATGTATTATTAAACAGAAAAAATTGAGTTCAGAAAAAAATTCAGAAAAAAATGCACTATTTTGTTTCCCTCCATGTTTTGAATGCACCCGAAACTGGAGTTGTAATACAAGACTGGTACCTAAAGGTTAATACAGTCAAATATTAAATACAATACTGACTGCCAATCATGCCTAAAGTTTTTAAAATCTGACAAAGTCAAAGATGAAGCTAGTTACAAAAATTATATCCTTGGTCCCTTGCTATTACAGCCATTACACATTGGTGGGTTTTCATAGCGCTCAAAAGTGACTAAAGCCCTCAAAACCCTAGCTTAAACCCAGATTCACACATGCATGTTTATTTCTCTGAAATGAAAATATTTAAGTTATACCCTTGACTGTTCAGAGTGTAAAATATCACTGATTTTATAATACATAGAAATCTGATACATTGCAGAATACTATACATGCTGTAGCTACAAATGTAACACCATATTAGCTGTGAAATATTGGCTCATGTGATAGGTTTGATGGCTTAATGAAATTCTTCCTTTTTTTGCAGAAGATGGCAACATACCCAGACCATGAAGAACAAGAAGAGACTATTTTTGAAAAAAATGTTCAAGACTTGGACGAAACGTTATCATATTGTGAAAATATCCCAGATAACCCTCCAAATTGTGACATAGAATACTTTCGCAACAGACTGAAAAGTACAGTGGATGGCTTAAATTGTTTAGAATTTAATTTAGTTATAAATAGAGCTGATCAGAGCTTAATTGATAAAATTCAAACCCTATTATCATGTCTTCAGCCCCTGAGAGAACATTGGAGCACGATAGATTTTTCTATGCCATCTAGTTTCTTGAGCATTGTTGATGGAGCAGGATGTATTTCAGCGACTGATAGGCTGGGAAGGCTTCCTGCTGTTATATGCACCGACCAAGTGGAATATTTGTTTAAAATTGGTTTTAAGACAGGTGAAATAGCCAGAATGTTCTTAGTGCACAGAACAACACTATGGAGACGACTTAAATATGAGGAGAAGAATCTGGTTAGACATACTATGATAAATGATTCAGAATTGATGTCAGTGATGCGAGAAATCGTTAACAGTCAACCACATACTGGTGTGAATATGATGATTGGCCACTTAAAAGCAAAAGGTATAAGTGTGCAACAGTCACGTGTAAGGAGAACTCTGCGTGATATTGATCCAGGAAGCACCTTGATACGATGGGGCTTAACTGTAGTTCGCAGGAAATACTCAGTTGCAGGGCCTAATGACCTATGGCATATTGATGGACACCATGCGCTGATCCGCTGGAAATTAGTAACACATGGAGGTATTGATGGTTTTTTGCGATTAATAGTGTTCTTAAAATGCTCGAACAACAACTTGGCGGTCACTGTTTTGAACTCGTTTTTGGAAGCAGTTGAATCGTACTCATTACCATCTCGAGTCAGAGGTGATCAAGGAAGTGAAAATGTTTTAGTTGCTAGATATATGGAAGAAAGGCGAGGCTCTGATCGTAGTAGTTTTATAGCAGGAAAATCTGTGCACAATAGCAGAATTGAAAGGCTTTGGAGAGATGTTTATTATGCTGTAATTCAAACATTCTATTAATTGTTTTACTATCTAGAAGGAAATGATCTGCTAGATGTTGATAATCAAAAGGATCTGCTGTGTTTACATTATGTGTTTATACCTCGTATCAACGAAGCACTCTCTCAATTCGTAGTGGCATATAATAGTCATGGGTTAAGAACAGAACGTTGTTGGTCACCACAAAAGATCTGGGTGAACAGCATGATTCAAAAAAACATTCATTCAGCTGAACTGAATAGTGAAAATATTTTAATTGATGGAATTGAGCAGTATGGAATAGACCCTCATGTTAATGATGTTCAAACACATGGTGAAGATATTGGCTCATTGGACATGCTGAATATGCAACCAGATCATGTAATTGTAGATGTGAATAACTTGTTGAGTCAGGTTGACCCTCTTATTCCAAGTAATGAACATGGAGTTGATGTTTATCTTGCTGCAAGAGAGATTGTACGACATGACATGCACGATGATGTGTAGAATTAGATAAAAAATAAAATTCTGGGTTTTTTATTTTCACTAGTACATGTAGATTATTGTACACTGACCCTGTACTTGTCCATGTTAAGATGATGTAATACATGTTAAATTATATTTGTGAAGTCAAAATTACTTTAAATGTATAACATACATGTACATTTGAATACATTGTATGAGACAACAAACCTTTACAAAACGTGAAATAAAAAGAACAATACAAAACATACAACAAGAGTGTACACACTGAAACGTCTCGCTTGCTTTACTTTTCACTGATATTATGTTGAAAGTCCTAAATATAAAGCTTAACTATAACTATCACACATGATCCAAGAAAATGAGGTCATATAAACCAATCAAGAAAAACAGCTGAAGGACGCCTCCGGATGTGGGAATTTCTCGCTACATAGAAGACCTGTTGGTGACCTTCTGCTGTTGTTTTTTCTATGGTCGGGTTGTTGTCTCTTTGACACATTCCCCATTTCCATTCTCATTTTTATGTCATGTACATGTCACAATCATTCTATACACTAAATATAGTAAGTTGACCTATTGCTTATAAATAGCTTCAAAGAAACAGACTGAACTATGAAAACTAAACAATGACCGATGAAAATGAGGTCAAGGTCACATGAACGATACTTGGCAGACAATTACAGCCTACTATACTTCCATACAACAGACATATTTGACCTATTGCTTATAGTTTTACACCAAAACACAAAACTTAACACCTTGCAATGAACAGTGAAAATGAGGTAAAGGTCAAATAAAACCTGTGAGACTGACACGTAGATCATAAAATATTTCTATGCATCAAAATAGTTGACCTATTGCATATACAATTTAATATTACAAAAAGACTAAAACTAAAAAAAAATATTTTTTTTATCTCTGAACCATGAAAATGAGGTAAAGTCAGATGACGCCTTACAATCATTCCATATAGTAAAAGAAAAAAGACAACAAAAAAATAACAACTGAACCATGAAAATAAGGTCAAGATCAGATGACACTTGCCAGTTGCACATTTTCACCTTTACAGTCCTTCCGTACCAGAAATATTGCTTATATGATATCCGAGATATGGACTTGATCACCAAAACTTTACCTTGTCCACTGATACATGAAATGAGGTCGAGGTCAAGTGAAAACTGTCTGACAGGTATGAGGACCTTGCAAGGTATGCACATACCAAATATAGTTGTCCTATTACTCATTTCAGACAGAATTTACATTACAAAAAATCTTCAACCTTTTATTTTTTCAAATAGTGGCGGAACCATGGACATGTGACAGATGGAAACTTCATAACATAAGCCATCTATATACAAATTTTATGTCGCCTGCTAATCACAGAACATGTAAGAGTCACTTTGACACTACATGTCGTCAGCATCAAAAATAACCAAAGCTTCAAAAATATGTCGAGAAACTTAATAATGCACAAATATGCATGGTTTATTTCAATATCAGTACATTTTTACTTGAAAAAATTGTGAAAAATATATTTCTCAAATGGTTTTTTTGTAAACATTGACCCCTGCTGGTGGCAATATTTTTCAACAGACCGGAGAAAAACGAAGACCATTTGTTCAGGACATGTCATAGATCATGACTTTTAAGTTTCAAGATTTTTGAAAATCGGAGGCTCACAATGACCCTGCATGTGTAGCCCTTTTGGCAATCCTTTTTTGGTCTAGATTTTCCACATATCTTAAGAGCTTTATAATATTCAAATATATGTATGGTTTAATTTGTTCAATTATCAGCTACTTTGTACTTGAGAAATTGGAAAAATATGATTTCCCGTAGGGTTTCTATGTAAACTTTGAGCCCTGGCTGTGGCCATTTTTCGTCAGACCAGAACAAAATAAGGATTTATGTAAAGTTTCAAAACATTTTGCCTAGTAGTTTCAGAGACAATCTTTGAAAATTGGCCAAACAGAATCTAAGATTTGCTCTAGCGGACATGTTTTTCATTGGACTAGAACAAAGTAGGGTCATTTGTTAAGGACCTTGCACTGACCATTCGTGCAAATTTTACTTAAAATCTGTCAAGAGGTTTCAGAGAATGAAAATGTGAAAACTTTATGACAAATGATGGTCATAACTTGATGGCAATTGGACTTTTACTTAGGTGAGCTAAAAAGTGTTTATGAAAATCTTCAAAATTTATTATAAATTTCCAAAAAAATACATGTAAGAATGTGGGTTTTTGCACTTGGACCTATATATACACATAACACATACTTTAATAAAACATTTTAATGAAAATAAACCTGACAGTTATGTTCTCCATAAATTGCAAAACAAAAGTTCATAGTATTATGATAACATTAGATCTAAATATTTTATTTTCAACAACTCATCAGTTTCCCTAACTGTTATACATGTTTTACAAAATAATCAAACTCAGATGTCTGTGCAGTTTGAGTCAAACAACAATTTAACATATAATACACCTGAGTTTCTTGTTGTTCAAAACTATAACATAATAAAATGTTTGGCAGGGCACAGCTTGACACCACCGCAGAAGTGGAACCCTGAAAAGTGGGAGCAAATATGGACACAACATTCGAGTTTCATACAGCTCTGAATTTGGATTGTGATTAAAAAGTTGAAACTGCATAGGTTTCTGACACAGAATGAATGGGGTCTAAAAGCTGAAAAGTTTAAAATTGGACATTCACTTTTTATGGTCCATTTTCCAAAATTTAAATACATGGTTAGATTCAGCGTATCAAAGAACCACAAGAACTCAATTTTTGATGAAATCAAATAAAGTTGCAATTTTGGACCCTTTAGACCTTAATGTGGTCCAATTTGATAACGGGGCCCAAATATCAAAAATCTAAATACATGGTTAGATTGAGCATGTCAAAGAACGAACCCCTTATATTCAATTTTGGTTGAAATCAAACAAAAGTTTAATTTGAACCCCTATTTGGACCAACTTGAAAACTGGGCCCATAATTAAAATTCATACATTTTCAGATTCAGCATATCAAACAACCCCAAGAATTATTTTTTTGTTAAAATCAAACTAAGTTTAATTTTGGACCCTTTGGATCTTAATGTAGACCAATTCGAAAACAGGACCAAAAATTCAGAATCCAAATACACGGTTAGAATCGACATATCAAATAATTCAATTTTTGATGAAATCAACAAAAAAAGAGTTAAAATTTTACCCTTTTGGCCTCTTCCTCCTAAACTGTTAGGACCAAAACTCCAAATATCAATCCCAACCTTCTTTTTGTGGTGAAAAACCATGTGTTTAAATTTCATAGACTTTTATTTACTTATACTAAAGTTATCGTGTGAAAACCAAATGTCTATGGACAACGACAACATGATACCATTTGTATAAGAATTTATATGATCAATATATTTATACAGAAATATTCAAATTTGTATTTGTAACAACCTTTGCACCAGGCAAGACAAAAAATGAAGATGAAGTATGGATGAGTATTAAAATTAGAGGCTCCCATGAATGGTTTATGCCAGTCCAAAGCCTGGTGAGTTTGCAATTCCAAAAGTCATTAGTTTTTTGAATGTATTAAAATCTACTGAAACTGGAAGCTTCAACTCCATTGAGCATGTGTTTGCTTTTGGAAACAATCCTGAGTCATGAAGAAAAGTAATAGATGGTGATGGATCAAATCCTAATGGAGGTACACTGTCTGCTCCAGTTGCAAATGATAAAACATCACCTAAGGTAATTTCACCATCCTCATCTTCTGAAATAAGACAAATATAAAAACTTTATACAAAATGTTGACTTCAGTTGAGGTTTACTCATGTTTATACAAACCAGGTAAGTAATTGAATGACCAAAACCAACAGCCAAGCTGGTAGTAGATCAATCACAGGGAATGTCCATATAGTCATAATTATACAAAAATCAAAGAGGATAACTGATTCATTAAATGTTATGTAACAAAGTTGAACTTTAGTTGGCTATAAAAGCTAAACAACCTCACTCAATAAACTTTCATATTACTACATGAACAATATTTTTTATGCTTCACATCTCAATGAGGTCACAATATGAAATAAAACAAAGTCTGTCTTTACATGGTTTATTATATCACTGGTCCCTAATTTTTTTAAAGATAAAAACAATGACAAGAATGTGTCCAAAGTACAGGGATGCCCTACTCGCATTATCATTTTCCATGTTCAATGGACTGTGAAATTGGTGAAGTTTCAAAGTTGAAGGCACATAATTTCAGTCAAATCAGCAGAGCAGAAATAATGGTATACTTTTATCTGCAAATTTTTGAAAAAAAGTTGGGATGGACTGTGGACCAGTCAAAAACATCATTTCCTTCGCAACTTGGTTGCCTTCGGTATAATAACATGCATTGTGAGATACACCCAGTCCCCCATGCAACATTCAGAGCAAGTGATATTACGTGTGCACATCTTCATAAAATGTCCCTCTGTATTGCACTGACTGGATGCAAGGAGTTGCAGCTATAGTGATTTTTACTTTTATTTAACAAAATTTTAATTGCAATTATGACAGCATTGGCTGACCTAGAAGTCATGGCCACACAAGACTTTAAATCTCGCAATTTGAAGGGGTAAATTAATAAAATGCTTTGCTGAGCACAGCTGGATATGCTCTCAGAGGTCCAACCCTGAATAGTTGGGGCAAAAATGGACACAATATTAAAGCTTGATACCGGTCTAAAGGAGTAGGTCCAGTAAGGGCCGATTTTGGCCTCAAATTTCAGGTTCATCTAACGAAAGATTTTAGACACTTTTTAAACACTGAAGTGTCTATTTCAATTGATTCAATTAGTTTATGTGACATATTTTAACTGATGTAGTCATTAAAAAACGCTTCGATTCAAGCTAAAATATGAAAAATCTATCAAATATGCCAGAAAACGTCACTTTTCGGATGGTTTTTGTCAAAAATGAAAGTGGCCGCATCCGTGTTCATCCTCAACCTTTATATATGTTATGTAATATCATCAAATAGAACTTACATTTCAATATTATGAATGAACAAGAATGTGGCCACTTTCATTTAAGATGGAAACCATCTAAAATCTAACCAAAATGCTAAAATTGTGAAGATTTCAGTAATTTAGCATGACTTCATGATGCTAGTACCCGATACATGTGCATTGTATTGTCAAAAACAGTCCATATTTATGTAGCAGAAGCATTCTACTTTCCAATAAATAGCTAAAAGATTACATTTTCAAAATTTTGTAAAACTGCTATATTTTGGGGCCAAAAAGGGGTCTTATTGAACCTACTCCTTTGGATTGTATAGAATATTTGACATATAGGTTTCTGAATAAACGTAGTCAAAGAACTTGAAATCTGTTATAAAAATTGAATTTATATTCAATTAAAGATTTCTTGCTGTGCTGTTGCTCAATACTTAGTAAATCTGTTGTCAGACTATAAACAAATAAATTTCAATAATTACTCAATGTTATATATCAAAAATTTAATAAAAAAACCTATAGGGAGGTTATCTTAATAGATATAAATCAGACATCAAAGTTTAATAAAAACTAGAGGCTCTAAAAAGCCTGTGTCGCTCACCTTGGTCTATGTGAATATTAAACAAAGGACGCAGATGGATTCATGACAAAATTGCATTTTGGTGATGGTGATGTGTTTGTACATCTTACTTTACTGAACATTCTTGCTGCTTACAATTATCTCTATCTATAATGAACTTGGCCCACGTAGTTTCAGTGGAAAATGTTAGTAAAATTTACAAATTTTATGAAAATTGTTAAAAATTGACTATAAAGGACAGTAACTCCTTAGGGGGTCAATTGACCATTTTGGTCATGTTGATTCATTTTAAGGTCTGACTTTGCTGTACATAATTGCTGTTTACAGTTTATCTCTTTCTATAATAAAATTCGAAATAATAACAAAAAACAGCAAAATTTCCTTAAAATTACCAATTCAGGGGCAGCACCCTAACAACGGGTTGTCCGATCAATCTGAAAATTTCAGGGCAGATAGATCTTTACCTGATAAACAATTTACCAACAGTCAGATTTGCTCTAAATGCTTTGATTTTTGAGTTAAAAGCCAAAAACTGCATTTTACCCCTATGTTCTATTTTTAGCCGTGGCAGCCATCTTGGTTTGATGGCCGGGCCATCAGACACATTTTTTAAAAAAGAAACCCCAAAATGATTGTGGCCAAGTTTGGATCAATTTGGCCCAGTAGTTTCAGAGGAGAAGATTTTTGTAAAAGATTACTAAGATTTACGAAAAATGGCTAAAAATTGACTATAAAGGGCAATAACTCCTAAAGGGGTCAACTGACCATTTCGGTCATGTTGTCTTATTTGTAGATCTTACTTTGCTGAACATTATTGCTGTTTACAGTTTATCTCTATCTATAATAATATTCAAGATAATAACCAAAAACAGCAAAATTTCCTTAAAATTACCAATTCAGGGGCAGCAACCCAACAACGGGTTGTCAGATTCATCTGAAAATTTCAGGGCAGATAGATCTTGACCTGATTAACAATTTAATCTCTTCAGATTTGCTCTAAATGCTTTGGTTTTTGAGTTATAAGCCAAAAACTGCATTCTACCCCTATTTTCTATAACAATTCTTATTATCAATCCAATACTTTCTAAATACTACCTTTTGAACTTCTCCTCTCAAGTCACCATCTGTTATATCTTCAATATTCCTTTCTCCAGCTTGTCCCACTAACGCATTGTACATAGCTGGAGAAAGGAATTTTGTTGATGGTCCTCCGTGTACAATGGATAGGGAAAAGAATAATCCAACATCTCTGTACAGATTGTCTTCTAGGGCTACAATAAAACAAAACTAAATATTTTGCTGAAATGTGATAAAAGATTTAAGATATATTAAATTTAACATTAAGAGGCCTTAATAGACATGATAGATGTCAAAGAATAAATTTTACTATTCATAACTATATATTATCAATCCCTGATTCAGTGATATAATATATATCATGTTTGTTTTGTGTTTCACAGACCTTCCAGAAATCAGAAGCAAAATGAAGGAAAACAAGAATGTGTCCCTAATACATGGATGCACCATCTGCATTATAATTTTCTGTTTAGTGGACCGTGAAAATGGGGTAAAAACTCTAATTTGGCATTAACATTTGAAAGATAATATCATAAGGTACAAGTATACTAAGTTTCCTCAACTTCATCAAAAACTAACTCAACCAAAAACTTTAACCTGAAGCTGGACAGACGGACGGAAGAACAAACGAACAAACGAACGAACAGACCAGAAAACATAATGCCCATAAATGAGGCATAAAAATGGTCCTTCCCTTTAAAACTGTAACAAGTGTCTAGATCCCCAAAGTGTCCCCTATTGTAAATGGTGTGAGGGTTATTGTGAGAGATCCCTAATGCACCAGCTCTAGATGAGGATTCCCAAGTAATGTGTAAAAGAAATCTCTGTGTATTGATATTGGACATGTTTCTATTGAGCTTAACCATTTGTGGTGATAAGGAAAGTAGAGGGACATAGAATAAATGTGTAAAAACTATGGAGCTATTAAAAGTTCAAAGAACTTATTGTGTTAAAACAGGGATTTTTGACCACAAGGAGCCGCATCACGAAAGAATACTCTGGGTTTGCTAATTTACAGAAAAAGTAATCTCACTTCGTACCCTGAAAATTTAACCACAAATAAAATAAACTGCTTCGCTGAGCGCAGCTGGATACGCCCGCAGAGGTCCAACCCTGAACAGTTGGGGCAAAAATGGACACAATATTCAAGCTTGATACAGGTCTGAATTTGGATTGTAATTAAATATTTGATATATTATAGGTTTGTGAATAAATGTAGTCAAAGAACTTGAAATTGGTTATATGAAAGATTTTTTGCTGTTGTGCAATACACTGTGCTGTTGCGCAATACTTAGTACATGTGTTGTCAGACTATAAACAAATAAAATCTTATAACTCTGAAATATGAAAAATCGAAAATTTATAAAAATCAAAAGGGAGCTTACAAAAAAAGATATAAACAATTTACCAAAGTTTCATAAAAAATGCTGAAATGCTGAAAGCATTTTTGAGTTATTGTCTGAAAACTGAAAAATCCCCCTTTTTGTAATGAATAAAACCCCATAAATATATATTCTGAAATTTATAAAAATAAAAAGGGAGCTCATGTCGATAGAAATAAACAATTCACCAAAGTTTCTTGCAAATTGGTGAAATTGCTTTTGAGTTATTGTCTGAAAACTGGAAAATCCCCCCTTTTTTAATGAATAAAACCCCAAAACTCGGAAATGGTAAATCCGAAATTTATAAAAAAACAAAGAAGGCTCACGTCAATAGATATGAACAATTCATAAAAGTTTCATGCAAATTGGTGAAATTGTTTTTGAGTTATTGTCCGAAAACTGGAAAATCCCCCCTTTTTTAATGAATAAAACCCCAAAACTTGGAAATGGTGAATTCGAAATTTATATAAAACAAAAGGGAGCTCACGTCAATAGATATGAACAATTTACAAAAGTTTCATGCAAATTGGTGAAATTGTTTTTGAGTTATTGTCCGAAAACTTGAAAATCCCCCCTTTTTTAATGAATAAAACCCCAAAACTCAGAAATGGTAAATCTGAAATTTATAAAAAACGAAAGGGAGCTCACGTCAATAGATATAAACAATTCACCAAAGTTTCATGCATATTGGTTAAAGCATTTTTGAATTAATGTCCGACATGTTGACGACGGACGGACGGACAGACGGACAGACGGACGGACAGCGGTATACCATAATACGTCCCGAAAACGGGCGTATAAAAATGTCTCAGCTTCAAAACGAGCCATCATATATATCCAAGTTAACGATATGGACTGAGCAACAGAAGAAAACGTTACCATTACGGCCTATGGAGAAACAATTGCAAACCTTGACCCAGATGATTGATAATTGAACATGACAGAATACCTCTCCATCCCTATAAAGTGGGAGACATAAAAATGTAACTGTATAGAGAATACATGAAATTCCTTTTTTAATCGTTCACCAAGATGAGACAATATAATCATCAGTGATATTGTTTGCCTTAAATTAGTGGAGAATAAAGGCTTTTTCCCCTGGAGAAGAATCCCAATTTGAAAAAAATAATGGCTTAAAATTATTCCCAAAAAGACAATTTTATTCCCAAACAGTGCTGTCTCAGTAGAAATGAATGAAGTGCATGAATACAAACTGAAAAACACTCATTTAAACATTTTTCATGCCTAAAATGACTATACTTGCAGATTTGAGGGTCTATTTATGTATCATCACTGACAAAATGAGGTCTTATTTTAAAGCAGGGTTTGCCATTGAAGTTTCAGTCAAATTCATGGTTAATTTAAATTTCCCAATTTGATGAAAATGACACATATTTTCCCAATAAAAAAGGGTAGAGGTAGTTTAGAAAAAAGCCAACAATATCACTGGAATCGTACCTGATGTACTATAGGCCAAAATTCTTCTGTTTTCAGGACCTTCAAAAATGTGCAGGTATTGGATCTTTTTCATCAGCATTCTCAAGAACTCTCTTTTTGGTCCACCTTCATCTATGGCAATTCCGCGATTCCTACATCGTCCGTAAACTTCACACTTATCTTGCTTTTAGCACAGAAGGATTTCCTTTTGATGGCTCTCTGAGCACCATCTAAAACAAGGTTTCTGTTGATATTGAATTTCGTTATCTTCTCCAGGTCAACCTGTGACTGTAACTTTATTAATAACTCTGGCAAACTGATATCACTAAAATGAACAAAAAATAGATGACACAACACAGGTTTCTGACACATAATGAATGTGGTCTAAGAACTTAAACTTAAAAACTTTAAATTTTAAATTGGACATTACCTATTATGGTTCAATATCTAAAATCAAAATACATGGTTAGATTCAGCATATCAAAGGACCCCAAGAATTCAATTTTTGAGGAAATCAAATAAAGTTCAATTTTGGACCCTTTAGACCTCAATGTGGACCAGTTTGATAACCGGGCCCAAACATCAAAAATCTAAATACATGGTTAGATTAAGCATATATCAAAGAACCCCATATATGCAATTTTTGTTGAAATCAAACAAAGATTTATTTTGGACCCCAATTTGGACCAACTTGAAAATTTGGCCTATAATCAAAAATCTAATACATGTTTAGGTTCAGCATATCAAAGAACCCCAGGGATTCAATTTTTTTTTTATATCAAACAAAGTTAAATTTTGGACCACAATTTGTACCAACTTGAAAACTGGGCCCATAATAGAAAATCTAAGTACATTTTTAGATTCAGCATATCAAATAACCCCAAGGATTCATTTTTTGTTAAAATCAAACTTAGTTTAATTTTGGACCCGTTGGACCTTAATGTAGACCAATTTGAAAACGGGACCAAAAATTAAGAATCTACATACACAGTTAGATTCGGCATATCAAAGAACCCCAATTATTTAATTTTTGATGAAATCAAACAAAGTTTAATTTTGGACCCTTTGGGCCCCTTATTCCTAAACTGTTGGGACCAAAACTCCCAAAGTCAATCCCAACCTTCCTTTTGTGGTCATAAACCTTGTGTTTAAATTTCATAGATTTCTATTTACTTATACTAAAGTTATTGTGCGAAAACCAAGATAAATGCTTATTTGGGCCCCTTTTTGGTCCCTAATTCCTAAACTGTTGGGACCTCAACTCCCAAAATCAATCCCAACCTTCCTTTTGTGGTCATAAACCTTGTGTTTAAATTTCATTGATTTCTATTTACTTAAACTAAAGTTATAGTGCGAAAATCAAAAAAAAATGCTTATCTGGGCCCTTTTTAGCCCCTAATTCCTAAACTGTTGGGACCAAAACTCCCAAAATCAATCCCAATTTTAGTGCAATTTAAGTATACATAAATAAACATGAAATCTTCAAATACGTACACATCCATTGGTATGGTTTTGTCACCTTCATCATCAGAGTCATCAACTGTTACTATTTCAGTTTCAAACAGCTGGACATATGACCTAAGTAATAAATAAATCTTGGTTTGATTAACCTATTGTACATTCTGTACGAATAGTGTTTGTGTTGTTACATTAAGTTAACAATGCTTTACAAATGACTAAGACTGGATGGCGAGCTATTTACGAATGAAGTTATCTAAAAACAATCAGCCATTTGTTGAAAATTATTTGACATGTCAAATCAGGGATCAGCAGAATGTATAAGAGTTGTTTTAAGAGTTAAATTCCAATGCTTGCTGTGAATGACAAAAAAGTTGTAGATTTGTGAGCATTTATTAGAAAAAAATTCTGTATGTGAATTGGTATTAATACTAAGAAAGATGTGAACTTGGAAGTAAACTTAAATGTAAATCAGTCAAGTAAAAAATATAGGTTACAGTGATTCATTATATCAAGAAATTGTGTCCAGATTATCTACAAATAAAATACCTGTAAGTTGAAGGACATGCCGGAGCATCATTACCAGTGGATGACCGCAAGCTTAATCGAGATCTACGCTCTCTACGTTCTAAGCACGATGGATGAAATGTTATCTATAAAACAGGGTAATCCGTCTTAAAATTAAACAATTTTAAATTGTAAAACAATTGCAGAGTATTCTTGGTCAGCACATATAGCATTTCAACTTATCATACATGCATGTTATTTTAATTCATTTTGATTTTTTAACAAATGTATACTGCTTGTCATCTAAATCAGGTTTCACTTTCTAAGACCTGCTGCTCACTATTTACAGATTCAGTTAATACTGCCATTTTTCTGAAATGAAATCTCCCTAGGCACTTTTGTTTTCTTTTTGACATTTCTTTAATAATAGTGATGGCAGGCGTTGAAATATCTGAATTGTCCATTACTAAAGATTACAGAAACTCAGTTCAGAACTGATACTGGTAGATTTAAATCAAAATTGATCACCTGTGGCGTAAACAGCTATTTAGAACAAGAGATTGAAATAAATTTGGGGCCTTTCTTTTAATGCAATAACAAATTTTCAGTGCGGCATTTGTACATGTTGTATGTAAAATGCAAATTTTGCAATAGTGCCTCCTAGAACATGTAGAATACTCTGTAACTAGTTTAAATCAAAGTCCATTGAAATATATTAAATCCAGAGTGCTCACAAGGATGAAACAAACTGAAAATTTTGAAGTTCTGTTTGCCCATGACAATCAATCTATGATCTTAAAAAAGCAATCACATTTGAGGTCATGATATGTAATGAGTTTGTTAAAATGATGCATGACACACATTTCATAATAAAACCTTTTCACATCCATTCTAATGGAATAGCTAAGTTACATGTAAATACTAACTGTCGGTGTGCCTGTATCTTCCCGATCACCTTCCGGATCATCTTCCACTATATCCTGACTTTGCACAGTTTTGGTGATGTCTGTTTGTGGTTTCTACAATATTCATAAAACTATATTATCCTAGTTCAATAAATTCCTTCAGGATTATTATCCTACAGGAGTGTGTCAAAAATACACACCAGAAACATACACTTCAAAATATTGAAGTAATATTTAGCACTAAATTCATAGAATACTGCAAATAATAATTTATTAGTTTAAACATATTTATTTATACTGGATTGGGAAACAAGTTTTTCATCTTATATTAATCCCTTTCCACTTTGCAGGTGCTAGTGCTGCTTGTAGCGGCATTACCCTGCTCTTTTTTTCGAAATCTACAAGGGTGTCTTTTACATGCAAGAGATATGACTCTCTCTTAACACTAATTTAATTTATTGCATACAACATGTACAAAGAGCTGTTCGGGAAGTAGTTTCATTGTGTACACTTAAAACTTATAGCACATGATGGAATGCTGTTTGCAATTAGATTTACATTAAACATTAACACTGTCATTGAAGCAAATGCCATTTTTTTTTAAAATAAAGCATATGTTGTGGAGCACAACAATAACCATATTGTATATTTCCATGAGTGTTTATTCATTTCATCACAAAAAAACAACAACAAAAAGTCTAAAACTTAAATCGTAAATACTAACTGGGGATGAGCCTGTATTTTCCTGGTCACTGTTCATACTTGCATTTGTGTCTGCTTGGGGTATCTGCATATTTACATATGAAAAAAGAAGTGTACATTTAATTGCAATTCAACTCGGAATATCATGTTTACCATTAAAATAGCTTTCATATTCTTTTAACTTTGATACAATAGTTTACATGCAAAAATAAGCAAATAAATGCATATTGACCCCTTTATTTTATTCTGTACCCCACTGCTAAGACCTATTGTTTGTTATTTTTTTATTTTTTGTTGTGAGGACTTTTTAAAGCTCTAGTAGATGAGCTCAACATTAGTGCTTATAAAACTGTGTAACTGTTTTCAAGATACAAGCAAAAACATGTGAAATTCTGACAGTTTTGCCCCTGATGATTTCATTGTAGCCCTAAATCAACTGAACAATTTGCAATTTTTTGGATCTAGCTAATGTACCGTTTTCCAGAGTCATAAGCAAAAATATGCGAAGAATACAAAACTTGAAGTATTTAAAGTGAGATACATCATGTACATGTACAATAAAACTGACAATTTTGCCCCTGCAGACTTTTTTGTAGATCTTAATGAGCTGAACAATTTGCAATTTTCATTTTGCAGTTTTCAAGTGCACAAAAGAGAAAAATTAAATAAAATGCCATACCACCTGGACTGGTTAATATCAGATTGACTTTAAAATGTCTGTATGGGTAGATCTTATTATGTACTGATCAATTTAATCCTATACCAGAATTTTGATATCTGTAACAGTTTTTAAGTTACATGCAAAACCCAGGTGTTGGATGCCATGGTCTATTTTTAGCCATGGCAGTCATGTTTTTGACCAATCAAAATTTTCCTTACAATTTTAAATAGAAACCCTGATAATGTTTTTGCCAAGTTTGGTCCCAATCTGTTCAGTAGTGGGAGAAGATTTTTATTTAAATTTACGACAAGGACGGACGCTCAGTGACGACAATAGCTCACATGGCCCAATGTTGTTTGCTCATTTTCAGACATGGATACTCAATATTTTTTCTTTCCCTTTCCTAGACATCCCCCCTCATAATTTTAATGCAAAGGTGTCATTTTTCTTCTGAAAAGTGTTAATATGGTAAATGTCACAACCATAAACAAACTAAAAAATCATTTTTAAAAATGCATGAATTTAGCTAACAAAGTGTGGTCATGAAAATATGTTTTATAAAAGGATGAACGTCAGCGAGTCGATCGATCTATATAAAAAAAAAATTGTTGTAGGGGCAAAAGATATAAAATTTATTTCATGAAAAGCTTAACGTTAACATCATCATGATGATCCATTTATCTGAATGTGTCACAAGATTGCTATTTAGTGTTACATGCACAATTGTTAATTACAAACTAGACTGTACTGTCTTCGAGGGAACCTGTATGTCGCCTGCATTTTATTGATAGCATTGCACACATTATTTATGTCCACAGTCCACTATGTGTAATTTCAAAGTTTTTGATAAACAGGATGTAGTTGAGTGACAGCAATGAAAAACAATTCTAAAGGATAAAGCATAGAGGTGCAAAATATCAAATGTCTGTACTGCATGTAGTTGTAGAGAAAACTGCAATGAAATTTTGCATACATATTTGACCAGCATGCCTTAAATATCAAAGTTTTTGGTATTAAATAGGAAGTACATAAGCAAAGCCATGAAAATGCTTTACGCGTCATAGTACTTCGAGATAAAGCATTCTCCAAAATATTAAGTCTGCTGCATGTAGTTGATAAGAAAACTGCAATGAAAATGTGTGACAACATTGCGGTGCATATGCGGCAAAGGTCTTGGAAAGATGGATTTTGTCAAAGTGACCCCTATATAAAACACAGGCGACATAAAAATATATTATATGTATCAGTATATACATGAAGTGCACTTGGATAAGAATATTAATCTATAGGTACATAGAGTGAGTATGATAGGATTACCAAGCATTTCATACCTGTTGTGTGTCGAGTACGAATACAATTTTCTGCCACTGTACAAATATTGTTTTTATCCTGTATTTATAAAATGTACAAATTATTTTTTCATACAAAACAGAATAACAGAAAGACATTCTTAAAAAAATGATTCCATATGAACACATCATATAGGAAAGCATGAATCATGTAAAATTAAAATTGGTCAAAGACAGAAAGGGCCAGTTTTTGTTAATCAAGAAGAAGAAGAGCTACAAACCTCACTCTGAAATCACATCTCATTGATGTGAGAGCCCATACAGAAGCTGCATACCAAATATGAAGAGCCTGTGATTTTTAGTTCCTGAGATAAATATTAAAAATACAGTATTTCCCTGCGACCAACATTCACATATTATAATTAAGCTGATTTTTCAACTCGCAAAATCCAGCCAAAAATCATTAATCTAACTTAAAGGTAAACGACCATCATCCTACATGTAGCAAGAGCAGAAACATCACCTTCATGTGATCTATCCACATGCAAAATAATAAAAGCCTATCACAAATTTTAGGTACATGCTAGACATGATTTTGTTTTGAGTGGCAGCTGTAGACTGATTACTATAGTGCGACCACCACTAAGAAACATTGTTTGATTTATTGTCGATTAAAACTACATGTGTAATATCCTGTGTTCTATGATTTTGAGCTCTAAAAAGTTATGATGCTGTATAATTACCTGTAAAGAGTGTGTCTTGCCGAATACTGGAAGTTCCTCGTCTGTCATGTCTGTGTCATCTAATTTGTTTTGATCCATCATGTCCATATCATTTTCGAACTAAAAATGAATTCATACTTGTAAAACAACTATCAATATTTTTGCAGTAAGATACTATATCACTTATTAGAAAACTTTTTATGTGTGTTAACGAACATTGCAAAAAATCTGCACCCATCCCCCCTAACAGAACATTACATTAAATTATATTTCTTTCCTTTAAATGGATATTGCAACTCCCTCAAGACTCATTATACAGTTTGATGTTATTAATTCTTTAATAAATATTTTGCGGCCCATATTTTGTCATACAACTATAAGTAGGTGTTTTACTGTTTACTTTCTCAGGTAACAGTTAACTTTGTGATCAATGCTTATGTGTAGTTGTCCTTCATGTATAGTTATACAATATTAAACTGTATTTGTCATATAAGTAACATTATACTTTTAACATAAACAAAAATAACAACAACAATAAAATAACTGAGTGGAACACACACATATCTATATATACACAAGTAAAACTAACTAAGAGTTCCCTGTCCTCAGTTCTTAAAAGACTGTTGTTAAAAACATAATAAAGGAACCTGTTTTTTCTGACACTTGGTTTATATTTGACGGATTTAGTAGGACTACTAGTTTTTCAGTATCAGATAGATTTGGAAACATAGGATTATCTATTGCCATGTCATTAAAAGGTTTTATACGTAAAGCATTATTAATTTGACAGTGGAGGAGTAAGTGATTTTCATCTTCTAAGATTTTACAAGTTGGACACGACGTAACGTTCTATTGTTTTGAGGTATGTTTAGATTATCTGCCCTTCAAAGATCAAATTATGGTAACTAATTCTAACTTTTTGTAAATAAACGTCTAGTTTGTTTCAAAAATTTGGATGAAGATAAAATGTTTGGTCTTGTTTGACTTTAATATTTTTGTATAAAAGAAAAAGTTTGTTATTTTCGTTTAAACTGTTCATGTTATTTTCCAGTAATTCTGAATTAAAGTTGCATGTAATATTCTTAATCAAAGTCTGTAGTTTTTCACTTGTTCCATATTTTGACAGGACACTATTTTTTGTATATCAATATTCATTTCTTGTGTTGAATCTACCAGAATTTTTCTAATTCCATTTTTTTGGAAAATATTGTACAATGAATGATAAAATACAATGTACACACCTCAGGGCCCTCGACAAGAACATATATAGCTTCCCTTGACCAATCAGAGCCTTCAGCCCTATTCCATCAAATTTGAATGTTGATGGTACATTTGGTTTGGATAATTTTTTATGGGAGCACGATAAAAAATTGATCTTGGTGGGATCTTTGTCAGTACTGTCAAATATGTCAAGTAGTTTGTTTTTAATAGTGTCCTCTGTATCCTCCGAACTTATGTTAATTAATCCTTCTTCTAGGATAATATCTGCACACAGAATGCCTGGCAATTTTATATTTCCAATAAAAACAACTTTATATGACTTTTCAAATAACTTCTTCTTCTTCTTCATTTGTTGTCTGATGTCTTTTCTGGAGGCAGCTCCCTGTATTGGTGAGAAATGTGTCCTTGGGTGTGAAGTGGCTTTTGACGACTTAAACACAGAAGCAATCTGCTGAGCCAATCCACTTGTACTTGGCCTGTTGCCAATGATATCTCTTGCTTGTCCTATATTAAGTAAATATTATCATAGTAAAATTAAAAAGATAAAATTAAAGCAGTTGGCGATTATCATGACAAAATTTTAAACTAGACAATTATTTGGAAAGATATTACTTCAGGTACATGTATCACAACTTAAAGACACGGTATCATACCATAATTTTTCAACACATTTTTTGGCGGTCATGTACTCGTCTAAAAGTACTGAAGTTAATTAGGTATCAAAAATCCTTTCACCCTTTTTATCATCTGTTTCACCCCTTATTTTCCAAAACAGTATTGGGTAGAAAGCTCAAAATCACTCACAGTCATCGTATAGTACTCAGATATCTTATTTTCAAAGTTCCTAAAGAACAATCAACTAATACTTTTAAATCCTTCTATAGTATTGCAAAAAAAAATCAGAGAATTTGCTCAAAAGATATAGGTTTAAAAAGAGCCTGTTCGAGACATAATTCATTGAACTTTTTTTTTCATCAATCTACAACAAAAGTGGGCAACTGATCTTTGCCAAGCTATTAGGTTTTTTGTTGAGTTTCATCAATACAAAGAGCTCAGCACCTGTACATGCTGTAGTTCTGTTGTACAAAAAAATAATTGATTTTTCTACCAACCATGAATGTACATACCAGCACATTCTGCTGTTGTTACAACAATATATCTTCTTGTTCCCCAACCTCCATCTGGAGAAGAAAACCCTCTTGTATCAGCTGCAACGGCTTTCAACACCCCTCCTACATGGTACCTCAAACCCACTGCTGAAGGAAACTGTGATTTGAGTGTCTCCCTCTCCAAAACGTCTTCTTTAAGTTGCAATAAGACCTCAGCATCATAACAAAGTTCACTATGTGAAACCTTTACATGCTTTATATGACCTGACATCATATAAACCTAAAAACAGAAATATGGAAACCAATTATTGATCAGAGTCTGAATCGTTCACCTAAAATATCATGACAATTGCCACCAAATATTTGAAATTTGGGAACACAACTGGACTATTTTAACTCACTTGTGCATATAATACTGGTTTCCATTGGCATTGATTTTGAATATTTTTTCTAATACATGTATATCCCTATCCTCTCCTCTCTATTTATATTTCACAGGCACTTGGGTTCCCAGCCAGATATACAGGGAAGTAAGAATTGTCCATTTTTATAAAAATTAGCAACCATGGGCCTGTGTTACAATGTATCTGAGTGCCCAAGAAACCCATAATGGCATTTATAACAAGAAGTAATTGTAACAAGATGCTGTTACGAAGTCTCCCAAACAAAGCTCCCTTAATTTGCAATTCCTATGGTCACAAATTCATTTGATTTGTTTTATTGTCCCATACAAGAACATATATATGGTCTAGGGACAAATATCTGGATCGTTTACAATTTATCAAACATGAGGGGGTGGGGGTGACCCTCACGGACTTCACCTATATTTCATTTGAATTGCGTTGTTATCCCATGCAAGAATATGGTTAAGGGGTGGGGATCTTGACCATTTACAATTTATCAAACATAAGGGGTGGGGATGCTCCCCATAGACGTCCCCTACATGTAATATTTCGTTTTATTTGTTTTATTGTCACATACAAGAATAAGTGGTTTACCGTTTAGGGGTGGGGATCTCAACCATTTAAAATATGTTCAAACATGATGGGGTAGGGGTGACCCCGATGGACTCTCCCTATTTTTCATTTGATGTGTTTAATTGTCCCATACAAGAATATATATGATATAGGGGTGGGGATCTTGACCGTTTACAAGTTTGCAAACTAGAGGGGATGGGAATGACACACACCCCCAACTTCCCTTTAATTTCATTTGTTTAACTGTCCCAAACTAAAGTATATATGGTTTAGGGGTGGGGATCTGAACCATTTACAAAATAATAGCACATTCTCAAATTGAAGGGGGTGGAGTGACCCAGGGACTCACCTTTAGTTTTATTATCCTGTGATCATTTTTGAAGACTATGTGTCTTTCACTTGCTGTTTTCAAGTTATAGATATAGGAAGTCATGTTGTGTGAATGCCAAAGAGACAACTCTCAATCCAAATAAAAGTTTATAAAAGTAAATAACCAGTATAATAATACTAATTATAGGTCAATGTACGGCCTTCAACATTATAGTCATTTAAAAATTAAAAAAAAATATAATCCCATAGGGTTCTGTAGTAAAACTGTCCCTTCCTTATGCCTCCCCAAAATACCCCTTAATAAACCCCGATACTGCTTGCACAAACGAAAGATTGATGGCTCCCCTAATCATATTAATTAGTCTAACATTTTATGAACCCTAAGTATATCTGACAAGCAAGTTTATTTTTCAAAACGTATCGGAAGAAAAAGAAAAATAATAATAAAAGTAATATGAACAGAGCAAAAACAATTAGTTTGGGAGACTAAATAATAAGAACAGTCTTTGCAACATTCCTGTGGAGTGCAGTCAGTTAGGGGTACTACTTGTACAAGTAATCTTTATTTACTTGAAGAAGTAAATAAAATAAACTTATATAAGTTAATAATAATGTTTGAATAATCTCCCCATAATTTTTTCAAAAATTTACCTGTATAAGTAAATTATTTTTACAATCCCACAAAAATTCTCAAGTTTTGAGGTGTAAAAACATGCCTTTAACAATTTTTCTCAGGTTAGCTCATAATCTTTGATTAGAGTTCAATGTTTCGTCTCATTAATTCAACAAAGAAACTGATTGGGCAAAGATCTTAAGTATTTGCGCAAGGCCTTCAAAAATTGCCCCTTGGGGGCTTGTAAATGAGCAGTGTTCTGAAGATAACAGACAAATGAGATTTTCATTGTCCATGACATTACACTTAAATGATATGTAAAGACATCTGCAAAGGACAAACAATCAAAAATTCTATTAGAGCAAAGAAGTCCTAAGAATTCAAGAAAAGAAGATAGGATGACTTTTTTACTTGTATAAGTAAAAAAAATCTGAATGTCTAAGGGACATAACTAAGCCCAATTTTTTTTTTTTACCTATACAAGTAAATAAAATACACTTGTATAAGTATCCTACAAATTTACTTATATAAGTATATTAATATTTACTTCTTCAAGTAAATAAAAATTACTTGTACAAGTAGTACCCCTGACTGGCAGTGTGTTGAACCTTCTATCAGTAGATACATTTTGTACATTGAAGGACCAATATGGATACACTTTTAGTATTTGACATATTGCAGAGAATGGTGGGTTGACTCAGTCCCACAAAGCATATTTGACACACAAAAAAGGTTTGGATAATCTATAAATATGCTTGGATATATAATCTATTGATAACCCAATCGACTACTTTTCAAATTGACAAAAGACTTCAGACCAGAAATAGAGTCAAACTCCTACCTGAAGATCTATTCAAAAAGTGTTTGTTTGTGCAACCCGACTTGATAAAATAGTCATAATGAATTTAATTCATTGAATTGTAACATGCTGTCATAGATACTTAATTTCCAATTCATTGTGTCACAAAAAAGGGTTAAAATGGAATCAACTTGGAGAAAATTTGACTGAACAGAATGGAGTGTGAGCCATACGTGTTAATTTTTATCAATGGAGATCACTAAAACTTGTTATAGAGCCAAGGGATATTTGTGTTTTAAATATACAAAGTCTAGAGTACTTGCAAGTAAGAAATTGATATTTTCAGTCATATAAAAGACCATAACTCTTATTCTATATGACAAATCTGGCTGACACTCAAGCCTGTCTATGAATTAATGGATATTAAGCTGCATGCTTTTAAATTTCATGAATCAATCAACAAACAAAAATTGTAGAATCCTTATATAAGTGAATTAAGAGCTGTGATATAAGTACATGATAAGCCCATTGCCCCTTTAGCTGGTCTTTATGCTTTAAATGATTTTTTTTTACATTAATTAAGCGGTTAGATTTCTCATTTAAATTGTTTGACAGTTGTCAATAGGGATCTTACATCAATAGATATAAACAATTCACCAAAGTTTCATGAAAGTTGGTGAAAGTGTTTTAGGGTTATTATTGTTCCACCCTTTTTTAAGTATAAAAGTTCATTACTGGAAAACGTATAATCTGAAATTTATAAAAATTGGAAGGTACCTTAAGCCAACAGATATAACATGTATAAACAATTCACCAAAATTTTGTGAAAGTGTTTATGAGTGATTGTCCGGAAACTGGAAAATTCCACCTTTTTTAGGCATAAAAATTCATGACACAGAAACATAAACTGTGAAATTAAAAAAAATTCGAAAAAGTCACATATACAGTATGTCAATAGATATAAACAATTCACCAAAGTTACAGACAACGGTATACAATAAAATGTCCGGTATTAGACAGGCGTATAAAAATGACACTTTTCTGTCAAACAAAGAGCCATAAATCCTGTTCTTGGGCTTATGCATTTTAAGCAAAAGTATCCATACCGAGGTGCCATAAAGAGAGAAAATCAATGGATAGAGAACAAAACACCAACAAGATGGTGACACATTCAACATACAATTTGGAATATTTACTTGTATATTAAAGGACTAATTCCCCCCTCCCCTTCCCCATTTTCCTAATGTAAATATAAATTTAATCCATTCAATAAATAGAACAAGTGAAACTACAAGCTACTGCTCACTGATGATACCCCCGCCGCAAGTGGATAATATTAATAGTGTAAAAATATGCAAGTGTTCGGTAAACAGGAAGTTGTTGAGTGATGAATCTGAAAACACATCTCACAGTATAGCTGACTTATATAAACCCTGAAACCAAATTTCAGAAATCCTTGTATTGAAGTTCCTGAAAAATGTGAAGAAAACTTTCAACTTTGCTATCATGTTTAAAATCATACAAGTGTTAGGTAAACAGGAAGTTGTTGAGTGATGAATCTGAAAACACATCACACGGTATAGCTGACTTATATAAACCCTGAAACCAAATTTCAGAAATCATTGTATTGTAGTTCCTGAAAAAATGTGATGAAAATTTTCAACTTGGCTATCATGTGTAAAATCATACAAGTGTTCGGTTAACAGGAAGTTGTTGAGTGATGAATCTGAAAACACATCACACGGTATAGCTGAATTACATAAACCCTGAAACCAAATTTCAGAAATCATTGTATTGTAGTTCCTGAGTAAAAATGCAAAAATATTCATGGGACGGACTGATGGAAAGATGGATGGACAGACAGAGTTAAAACAGTATACCCCCCCTTTTTTTAAAGCGGGGTATAATCCTAGTCAGTGCTAACACGTTGAAAACGACACATTTTCAATCATATAAAGGGCAATTTCTCCTTGAAATAAAAGTGAATCTGGCTGAAATTCGAAATTGTCCTATGAGAGGCTATGAATATATATATAGCTCTCATTATGTGTATAAATATGAACAAAATATGCTGACAAATAAAAGTTCTAGAGAGCTAAGAATTCCTGAAGAAAAATATGTTTTGAAATATGCAAAGACATATAGTAATTATTAACCACAGTGGGACGTGGAAAAAAAATCTACTTCAGGGATTCAGAGATGGGAACTAGAACACATTCCAATTTTTCCATAAACGGCCATTGTGGTGCATATTTCGGCACTTTTTTACATTGGTTATTAGATGTACCGCAACTGTTCCAGTTCTGGTTTACGGATTTTTTATAAACAAAGCGAGTACTTTGTGGCAAATAAACCAAGATTTCTATAGAAAATCCACAGCCTTCAATATTGAGATTTTTGTTATAAAATTTCAAACATAGATTACTCACTTGCTTTTCTAAAATGTGCTTGTGTTTATTAATTGTTTACAAAAAAATATAAGCAACCTGTAAATTCCCAAACATCTGGTGCTGAGCCTGTCAAGTGCACCCTAAAAGGTGTACTTAATTTGAGCTAAATTCTTATTTGTTTTAACTATTATTATAACTACAGTAATAAACTTGTTTTGAGAAAATTTCAATGCTCGCAATAATCCTATATCTATCAGTCATTAAATTGCCTTATTTGAGGGAACAAGGATAAATAGAAAAGGCTGTGGATGTTCTAGTCTAAATAATATTATGACGTCTGGCAAGGCTATTTTGGTCGCAGGAAGGCGTCCAAGAAAAAAATCAAAATAGCCTTGCCAGACGTCATAATTATTTGGACTATGGATTTTCTATAAACTTTCCATATGTTTAGTATTGAATCAACACAAGGGTACATAATCCGAACAGTAACACTAACAGTAACAGCCTGCAATGCCGGACTCGCAAGAACGCAAGATTTAGTTAGTGGGGCGACGCGTTTTTTTAATTCTTGGTCATGCATTCGTGTTGAGAAAGAAAGGGGGAATGCAAACAGTTACACAAAGCGTTACCTTCTCATATATCTATCAACAGCTAATCAAACGTACAACTTCAACATGTGAGTCAAGCAGGGGCTGCCATTTTCGACTATATCGACCAATCACAAACGTTGTTGCAAATTTGACCTTGTGACGTCAAACAATTTCCCATAATGCAATTATTGCATATAAATAAAAATTATTGCATATAAATAAAAAAACGACAGTTATACCAATTGAATGAAAAATATTGCAGTACAATGACAAGTTATACAAATTGAATAAAAAATATTGCATTTGAATGACAAATTATACCATTTGAATAAAAAATTATACCATTTGAATGAAAAATTATACCATTTGAATAAAAAATATTGCATTTAAATGAAAAAAATATGCCATATCAATGAAAAAATATACCATTAAAATAAAAAATATTGCATATAAATGAAAAAATATACCATTTAAATGAAAAAATATACCATACAAATGAAAAATTTTTGCATATAAATGAAAAAATATTGCATATAAATGAAAAAATATTGCATATAAATGAAAAAATATACCAATTAAATGAAAAATATTGCATTTAAATGAAAAATATCAAATTTTTGCAACCAATACCATGCCATAATCAATTACCTCTGTCATTTTTCTTTGTTTCCCATCTATGTGAATGTGAAAGATTTTATTTTTAGCTAAATTATACATATATGATGGACTGACATACAAAACAGATAAGGAAATTTGTATGTGGGGAATACATAAATAGAATCTTTTATTTCAACTGAGTACAAAGTTCTAAAGACCTGTGTCTCCTTCTTTTTTGTCCCCCGCGCAACGCGTTGCAGGGGACATAGAAACACCGTCCGTCCGTCCGTCTGTGCGTCCGTCCGTCGGGTCTTGTTAGCGCTCTCATGTGTAAATAAATAAATAAATAAATAATCTTTATTTCAAGAGGATAATCCCATTAGTTAAAACTAATCTTCCTGAGAGTCCTCAAAATAATAATAACATATTTATAAGTACATACAATATTATAATGATATATTATACACAATATACAATTGTATCTAGATAATAATGAAAAAGCATATTAATTTGCACTATTGATGAAAATTTTCTAACATTTTGTTTTAAAAGATACAAGTGTATTACTCATTTTTATTTCATTTGGTAAACTGTTCCATATTTGAGAACCTGAATATGTAAATGTTTTCTTTAAAAAGTTTGTTTTTGGTTTCGGAAGATTTAATAGTTTTTCATCAGCCGAACGTAAATTATAATTCTGATTACCAATAAAATGAAAGTTTTCTTGTAAATAGTTAGGAACCATATCATTTAATGATTTAAATACAAGTATTGCCTTTTGATATTGAATGCGTTTTTCCACATTTAACCAGTTTAAACTATTAAACAACAAACTGGATGATGTCATTATGTCAGCTTCTACTATAACCCTAGCAGATTTCTTTAATAACTTATTAAGTTTATTTATTCCACTTTCATAACAACTTCCCCATATATTGCAACAATAATCAAACAATGGCAAAATATAAGGATTAAAATAAATAATACGTATATACATAGGTAAATATTTTCTTATCTTTTGTAATAAATTGATTCTATTTGATATTGTACATGACATTTTATCTATTTGCTCATTCCAATTTAGGTTTTTGTCGATATATAAACCGAGAAGTTTTTCACAATCTACATTCTCTATTTGTTCATCTGAAATTTTGATATCTAAACTGTTCCCAGTTGAATAAAGCCTCTGTTTTGAACCAATAATCATTGATTTACACTTTTTGGCATTTAGTTTCATACAATTTTGCGAACACCAGTTTTCAATTACATGAATATCATTTTGAAGGTTAGCAGTTAACTGAAGTACATTATTACCTTTACTATGTAATGTAGAATCATCTGCATATAGATCTATTAATGAATTTTTTATGTTCAGTGGTAAATCATTGATATATAAAATAAATAACAGAGGGCCAAGGATAGAGCCTTGTGGTACACCAGTTTTTATGCATTTAGTATTAGACATGACGTTATTGACCTTAACTTGTTGACTTCGTTCAAACAAGTATGACTTAAACCAGTCTAGTGTACAGTTTGAAACATTATAATATTCAAGCTTATTTAATAAAATAATATGATTAACCAGATCAAAAGCTTTCTTTAAATCTAAAAATATAACTCCGTTTATTTCTCCATTATCTATATTTGCTAACCATTCATCTACTAATTTAGTAAGTGCAGTTGTGCACGAATGTTTAGGTCTGAAACCTGACTGTGTAGTATTAAGAAGGTCATTACTATTTAAATATATATACAAACTATCAGCTATATGTCGTTCTATGATTTTGGAGAGACAAGGCAAAACTGCTATTGGTCTATAATTATCAGGATTACAAGCATCGCCACTTTTAAAAATTGGGCAAACTCTTGCAGTTTTAAAAATACTTGGAAATTTACCACATTTGATGCTTAGATTAAATAAATATGTTAAAGCTGGTGCAATGACATCGCTGCACATACTCAAAATATTTGGTTCAACATCATCTAAACCAGTTGCTTTAGACTTGTCAAGTTTTTTTAAATACATTTTTACATCTAAAATACTCATTTCTGGTATAATGAATTTTTCACTACCCCTTTGTAACTTTGATTTCACAAATTTGTTGAGTACATCGAAACTTGGACCTTCATCATTATTACATAATTTGTTATCAACTATACCTTCAGCAATATTTGTGAAATGCACATTAAATGTATTTGCTATATCAACATCATTTTGAATTACACTATTTTTATATTCCAAATGCGTGATATTATTATGTAATTTTTTGGGATTTAGACTTTTGACATACTTCCAGATAGTTTTACTATCTTTACAATTTGAGATAGCATTTTGGAAATAATTTTTCTTTGCCTGTTCTACTAAAAATGTGACCTTATTACGCCAAATTTTATAATTATATATATCCCCAATTCTATGAAAATAATCTCTTTGGTGTCTAGCGCTATTTATATCAGAAGTCCACCACTCTGGTTGTTGAGTATTTTTCACCCTTTTAATTTTCTTAGGAGCATGCTTGTCTAGGGTGCTCAGAAATAGATTATACCAATAATTAGCTGCTTCATCAACATCTCCAATCGATTCAATGAGATGAAAAGGAGTATTTGTTAAATTTTCAATAAAATATTCTATGGACAAATGCTCCATTTTTGATATTTTTGGGTTAAGTTTTCTTGTTACGCAAACAGGATAATGATCACTGACAGCATAACTAGGCACATTTACTTCTGTAATATGGTCTACATCGGTAGTATAAATATGGTCTATAGTAGTTACACATTTATCTGTTACTCTTGTGGGTTTATGTACAATTTGTTGTAAACCATACAAATTAATACAGTCCTTCCATTTTTGATTTCCGACAACTGTATGATCTATATGTGAATAGTTTATATTGAAATCTCCTAAAAGTATAATTTCTTTATTTTCTGCTGACGCTTTTTCTATTTCTTTTTCAACTGAATCAATCCAAGATTGCAATGAACTCGGTGGACGATAAAAAATGCCTATTAAAATAGAGTTTGTGTTTGGAAAAATAATTTCAATCCATAAAGATTCAATACTACCTATTTCTAAATCGATTCTTCTCTGGTGACATACACTATTTCGTATGTACGCAATCACACCTCCGCCATCATTAATAGCGTTTCTATCTTTTCTTTCTATTTTGTAACCTTCAATTTGTAATGTTTCGGTACCAATTTCATCATTTAAAAATGTTTCTACCATACCAGATATATCAAATAATTGTTCATATTTTAATAGGAATTTTATTTCTTCAATTTTGGGTTGTAAATGTTGAATATTTAAACAACCTAGTTTAAACCCTTTTTTAAGTAACCAACTTGCTTCATTATTTCTACTTCTATTTACAGAACTATGTGTTTTATTTTGACTCTTTCTATTTCTCTTTTGAGATTTTCCCCAATTAATATTATTAATGTTGTTTATATTACATGTACATTGTATACTACTACATTGATCACATAACAGATTTAAAATATTATATCTGTTTGAAAAATTAGAACAAGCTAAATGCTACCTCTGAATATAATCTGACTCACGTACAGAATTTGGTAAATGGAAGTCAAAAAATGGTGCTCTATCTACATTTTGTCTATTTAGCGCATTATTGTTTTCCCACGAGTCACGAGAGTTCATATTGAGATCATTCCTGTCCTTTACGTTTTTAGTGTTGACTCCTGAATGGTTGAAATTTCTTCTGCTTTCTGTTGTGTTCATGTTACTCCGTGATTGATATCTTGGTTTTATAGGGCTCCTTCTGAAGTTGTTTGTGTAATATTGGTGACCGGAACTTTGGAATCTATTTCTGTTTTGTTGGTTCAAATGATACTGTTGTGGTTTTCCCTTGAATACTTTGATTATTTTATTTACATTTGTCAACAGCTTTATTGTTCCATATATCTATTTAGATGAATGCCATCTATATTGTAAATTGATTTAGCTATATGATCATCCTTGTAGACAAAAGATTCATAATTTGATATAAATTTGACATCATGATGATGACACATTTGTTTTAGGACTGTGTCATATTCAGTGACATCACATTGTATCCTTGGCAATATTCCAGACACAATTGCTCGACAGTTTTGACTTCTTACATAGTTAATAATTTTTTGGTAAATGTCCACAAATTGTTGTACATTCATTTTGCTGCTTGCATCATTGCCCCCGACATGAATTATCATTGTATTGTATGAACTCAGATCCATACTTCTTATGTCATCGTGCAAATCTAGAACATTTGCTCCTCTGTGAACATGAACATCTATATACTCTTTTAATTTAGATGGGTTTATTCCTTTTAGAACTGAACTTCCTGCAATTAAAACTCTACTTCCTGATAAAGGCAGTTTCAGTTGTGTGTCATACACAGGATTTTGTGGTTCTTTAATTAAATCAGCATTTATTGGCTATTCTGTTTCAAAGATAAGCTGTTCTTGTTTATGTATAGGTTCTTGTAATAAATTTTCAAATGTTGTTTTTGGAATTGTTTGATCTTCATCTAACATTTGGGTACATTGGTTACTGAGATTTTCCACCTGCGTAAA